TTTTTAATATATATATATATAAATTTTATCTTCGGATTGTAGTGAAGGAAGACGAAATCTCATTATTTATGCTGCACTCAGTAAAGGGTAGGCCATTAAATGTCGTTATTTGTACCGTATCTAGTAAAGGATTGGCCTGTTCCTCTTCTCGTGCACGCACCTCAGTTCCCTCGTCTTCTCAATGACTGATTCCCTTCAAACCACCGGCACTTGGTTCTTCCCCTAGCATACGTCCTCCATTGAACCCCTCCGTTCAGACGTGCGTGGTTGCTGTTCGGCCTCCTCAGGCTGACCGCAGCTCAGAGCAGCTCTGCGTGACACGTGGCACGTCCCCGAGCATCCTCGCAGGAGGCGGCTCGAGCCCACTGCGGCATGTCCATCCTGGTCCGTCTTCTGGGGGTCGTCCTTTCTTTGTCTATGATACCAGAGAGGGATTGATCCTCTTGATACACATCCAAAGTAAGCAAAACAGAGTCCTACCGTCTACCCTAAGGAACATTCTGACTCCCCTTCTTCTAAGACAGATTTTATTTGTTCTTTGTTCAGAAGCCTATGAAGCTATCTCCAGTATTCAACAGCACCAAAGGTCTTCCTTTTTCAGCATGCATGTGGAGTGGTTGAACAAAACATGGTTTGGACCCTGTTCCTTTATCTTGAAATGTCCCTCCTCATTGCCTAGTTAATTTTTTTTTTTTTGCATCTCAGCTCATTACTTTTTTCCTCAGGGAAGCATCCTCAAATTCCTGACAGAGTTAAGATCTACTATTGTACATTCTTTCATAACTACATAACTCTCTCAGCATTGAACACCATTATAATTTTATATATATTTGTTTCATTGATGACAGACGCACTAGATTGTTAACTCCAGGAAGACAGGAACTGTGTCTTTGTTGTTATTGTTCAACTTTGTATTTCCTAGGCCTAATACAGTGTCTGGCACATAGTAGGTGCTCAACAAACTTGTTCAAAGGAAAAAAAAAACCAACAAAACATGGTTGGGGTCAGAAGTCTCTTGGCCTTCCAAGTGGTATCATTGCTTTTTAATATTTCAAAGAAGTCTTTTCCAGCAGGTGTGACCAGTGTCAGCAGCATCAGATTTTGTGACACCACTTCAGTGGGCGTTGATGGTGGATCCACGTAAAATGAGGCCCTTGGCAATTTCGGTCTTCTCTCTGTTTATTATTGATGCTGTTTATAGACCACTTGTAAGGATTCTTGTTTTCTTCGTGTTGGAATATATTCCGACCGATGATTGTAGTCTTTGATCTTCTTCAGTAAATGGTCTTTGTTTGAGCGAGCAGGTTTGTGTCACCTCTGTCTCTCAGGTGTTTGATTGTGCTGCAGCCTCGATCTTCACATCACCTGCTTAGTGCACAGGTTAGATCAATACGATGGAAGCTTCGGCATACAGCTTTCCTGATTGTATACCACGCAGTCTCCTGTGACTCTGTTGGAAAACTTGCCTTTTGATCTGTGTACTGGTTCCATGGGGGCCGCTAGATGTTAACTGCACGCCCCTGCACATTTCATGGTAATGCTTTCCTTTGCCTTCCCAAGTGTTCTGGAATTCTTATCCTTCAAAGTGTTACTCATAATTTGTTACGATCCACACAAGTACGGCCTGTGTAATCACTAAAATGCAGGTGGACATTTTTCTGGAATTCTCTGTTTTCAACCCAAATCCATATGTAATCAACAGTGGAAGCCCTTGTCCCACATCATCTTTTCAGACGGACTGGAATTTCTGACCGTTGTCTGTCAGTGTACAGAAGCAGTCATTTTAACATTATAAAAATATTGTTTGCATGTACATTAATGATAGTGTCTGGTAATTACTGCATCCTGTTGGACCAGCATTCTTTGGGATGGGCATGAACACGGTCGGCCACGTGGCTTCGGTTTCTTAGCAGCCAAGCGCACTCTTGGAGCGTTGTGTCCATTTGTTGAAGCGTTTCACTTGACTGTGCCAAGATCTTTGGTACAAGCTACTGAGCCAGCCAGCTGGAAGAGCTGCGTTTGCGCTCACTCCAAAGCTGCGCCAGTAGAAGTTTGAGGATTTAAAAATAGTTGCATCTGTACACCAGCATCTTGTATCTATGCCTGCAGTACAAGTTGAACGTCTTCCTTCAGTACCATTCGTTCTGGAACATGTGTTATATCCTGAGCTGGTTAAACGTCACCGGTTCTTTTTGGCACACCTGTAACCTTGAGTGTTCCCTGTGACATTCACTGTTCTGCACATACAATCTTTCAGTATTGCTGTTTGAGAGTTCATTTTTTTCCCTTCTTCACTTTTTGTACCTCGAGAAATGCTGGGAGTGTTCTGCCGCTTGGTTTTCTGGCTGCCTGGCTTTGCACATTTCGTCATAACCCTTTGTCCTCTCAAGCCGCCCTTTGAAATGTTTTTGTCAGCTCTTGCATTGCATCGTTCCTGCCGTTGGCTCCAGCTTCTCTGCATCCTCGCGCAGGTTTCAGGTCTCTTCTCAGCCGTCTTGGGCGCTGCTTCCCTACCTGGCCTCCCACCCTCTCGTGACGGTGCTTTCTCAGAGAGATCTGCAGCTTGCTTCTTCATTCTTCTGCCTCTCACCCTGGCCCCCAGTTTCTTCCAGTTCTTGTGGGGAAAAGACTCAAAACTCTTTTATGCTTCTGAGTAGCAGACTCGTCAGTGAAATATCAGTGAAATGTGTTCTTGTGCATTTTCTGTTTTTTTAAAATGTTCTTTATTGCTGTCTCCTTAAAGCATCATCTTACAGGCTGGGTTGGGGAAGACATTTTTTTTTTCTTTCTCTTGATAAACTAAAAATCATTATTCAGAACAGTTGTCACTGAATATATAGATGTTAAAATATAAGATGTAAAAATATATTGTACTTAGATTCTCTAAGTGTTCCCTGAACAACACACATTTCTTAGGTTCAAACTTTACAGTTCCAAGAGAGAAAAATACAGTATCACTAATCATGAACTAGAAATGAAGAAACAGCCATGGTTTCCAGTGATAGAGGCAGTAAACTTTATAACAGGAGAGAGGAAGTACTCGGTAATCTAATACGGACCTGTTCCAGCTGTTTGATTACCCAGGTAGTTCGTATACTTTGAGCTGGTGAAGTGACACTGCCATCACCCTGCTCCAGGTAACGTCATACAGAATAAAGGCAGTCATTGTCTGCACTTGACTCTGGGGCTGATTCTTTGTGAAATGCTTTATTTTCTTCTTGCCATAACCTTAATGCTTAGAATAAAGATGAAGAGAAAAAGGGAACAAAGGCAGCTTCTGTATTTTGTAAAATCATTCTTCAAGCTATAACAGGGCAGTTGTAAAAAACTGTTTTTTCCCCCTTAAAACATTTCTGAATTTGCAGTTGTCTATTTAAGTAAACTCCTATTTTTGCTTTTATTTTATAAGCATGACATTTGTGCCAGTAATGCAGATTGTTTGTAAATACTAACAGCTTCTAAGGACAGTGCTCCAGTTTAATTAATTGTCACCTACAATATGTCTGTGGAATCCCCTGACTTTTCACCAGAGGTTGAGGAATATATTGTTCCATCACCTTCCCCAGCTAAGTCAGACAGAATGCTACTTTATATGTAGGTTTTGAAATCGGAAACTCTGAAAACATGTAGGAGTTTCTGGTTTGTCTATCACATATGCTTTTCTAAGAAGGAGCCTTAACGTTACAGAGGTGAATTGCTAACTAAAACGTGGTTAATTGAAGCCCACGAGCCACGCTGGAGGAGAAAGACAGAGCCATTTCCTCACCTGCAGCTCTTTGGCTGTGGGAACCTGGTTGTCAGTTCTGCTCTGACCTACAGGAAGTCAGAATCGACGTCACAGTAGTGGAATAGGCTGAATTTCAGACCTGTGTGATTGAAATCTTCATGCTGACATGCTTGTTCTTCAGCTCTTTGGAGCCTGGACAAACATTTTTCCAATGTAGCATGTCTTTTGACATCTTGACTGCAGTGCCAAGGGTGTTGATTATGGATCCAAGCATCCAGGGTCCCTGAAGGCAGGGAGGGCGGAGCTTCCTCTCATGTCCTTTGGCATGTTGTTAGGAGGGGTCAGTCCTTAGAAAAGGACATCATGCTTAAAAAGGTCCAGGGGGTCAGCTAACAAGAGAAGAGCCTCAGCTGACAGCAACACGGGGACTTCAGCAGTGGACACGGGGGCCGCAGCATCGGACACGGGGACTTCAGCATCGGGCACGGGGACTTCAGCAGTGGGCTGGGGCCGCAGCAGTGGGCACGGGGACTTCAACAGTGGGCACGGGGACTTCAGCAGTGGACACGGGGGCTGCAGCATCGGACACGGGGACTTCAGCCGTGGGCACGGGGACCTCAGCAGTGGACACGGGGACTTCAGCAGTGGGCATGGGGACCTCAGCAGTGGACACGGGGACTTCAGCAGTGG